TCAGTTTCAGCAGCGGCTGAATCTGGATGCCAGTTCCGACTTGCATACAGATTCAACTTAAGAACAAACCTACAGTCCCTATCTTGTACGTAACCCGGGGACTGCCTGTACTCATGCGTAGGAACTGGGAGATGAGTGCTCCCCCAGCTGGAGGCTGGTGGCTGTGCAGTGGGGGAAGGGGTGGGAGAGCACTCACCACCAGGTGAGTGTTTAAAAAAAAAAAAAAAAAAATCTTGTATACCCCGCACCGATTCAACTTAAGAACAAACCTACAGTCCCTATCTTGTACGTAACCCGGGGACTGCCTGTACTCATGCGTAGGAACTGGGAGATGAGTGCTCCCCCAGCTGGAGGCTGGTGGCTGTGCAGTGGGGGAAGGGGTGGGAGAGCACTCACCACCAGGTGAGTGTTTAAAAAAAAAAAAAAAAAAATCTTGTATACCCCGCACCGTAGGAACTGGGAGATGAGTGCTCCCCCAGCTGGAGGCTGGTGGCTGTGCAGTGGGGGAAGGGGTGGGAGAGCACTCACCACCAGGTGAGTGTTTAAAAAAAAAAAAAAAAAATCTTGTATACCCCGCACCCAAGTCTACCCTGCAGGAGTGCGGGGTTTGTTAAAAATGAATATAACCCACGGGTTATATTTGCTAAAATACGGTAAATTCAAATGCTGACTTCTTTTTGTTGCTAATGGCATTGCACTTTTTTGTGTGGAGTATCTTTTTTTATTAATCACTTGTGTGCTATTCTGTTGACTGTGATCTTTTCTCTTTAAAGCAAACTACAGATCTAAACCTTCCTCCTGAAGACCAGGACTCATCTGGCGATGATGATGATACTTTCTCTGGCTCCGGTGCTGGTGAGTGAGCTTGTATTTCTGCTCAATTGTCATAAATTCTTTAAGGTTGGGCTGTGGTGTGTATAGCTTAGCAAAGACATACCCTGCTTTATGGAAACAGCAGCAGGACAACTCACAAGATGCATTTTGAGTTTCCCTTCAGGAACAGCTTGGTCATTTTAGGCTGATCTCAGCTTTCTGCTTGTGCTCAAGGAGAATTGGAAATAGGCTTCCAGAATATCTGTTCCTGGTGGGAATAAATGGGATCCCAAAGGTGTTCACAAAGACATGGCCTTGTAATATTAATGGCGATGTCCAACTCTTTCAGGCTACTAACATTTCACATTAGTAGCCTGAAAGTCTGACGTTGCCATTGGATATCCTCATTGGTAGAGTTGAGAGTAGTGATGTGAAAGTGTAGCTGTACATGGTTAACCAATGAGCCCATTTGTTAACGTTCATGGCTATGCACAAGCCAGCTCCCTGCACTTACCAGGAGCGAAGAGCTGGCTCCCCATGTACATGGGGTCCTGGAGAGCTGCTTCTCCTGCTCTTCTTCTCTCCTTCTCTTCTCCTCTCCCCCCTCCTCCCCCTGCCCCCCGCTGCTGCTTCTGATAGAGGCAGCAGCACAGGGGGCTCTTGAGTACCCTAGGTCCTGGGGATCCAGCTGGCCCCCCTCAGACACATATGTTGCCACTGAAATTTTTCAGTGGTTACATAATTCAACTCCATTTTAACTTCCCTAGTTGAGCATAGAAGAGGTAGAAAGGAGTGATGTAGAGTCTCCTGACTAGAAGTATTGGGAACAGTTGAGTGACAAAACACAACTAGTTAAGTGATGACCCTGCCCTCCCCCTCCCCGCCCCCCATGTACACTGCTGCTTCTGAAAGACAGTGGCATAGGAGGGTGGCAGGGGTTCTGTGGAGTCAGTGACCGAGGTGGAGCAGAGACCCACAGGCACTGGCTCCTGCCCCTTCCCCCATATCAGTCAACAGGATTAACCGATAAGCCCAGCCTTATTGGTTAATTATGTTGTCTGTATGTTGATGTCCCTAGTTAGCTCATCACACCATATTGAGCGATTTGTACTTGTCTGATACTGGATCATCTGGGCGTCAGTTAATGCTTAACATTCTGGTGTAGGTCCCTTGACAGATCATTCTGTGGCTGCCTGGAATGTTTCTTTGGAACGTGCAGATTCATCAAGGTCAGCAATCTATACTGAAGCAACTGTTCACCAGCCTGCAACTCCTAGCACAGAAAACCCAGCTGAAAAGGAAATGGTATCCTCACCCCCAGCTAGTGATGTGGTTCCTGATGAGGCCATCCTTTCCAAGGAGGAGGAAACTTATGTACTGGGCTCAGCTGATGAGAAACCTACAATCCAGCAGCCAGTTGCCACGTCAAGAAGCCCCACTACTCACAGGCCTGCTCTCAGAGTAACCACTTCACAAGCCTCAGGCATAGTCCACATAACTGAACCTGGTATCCACGGCTCTGGCCCGTCTGATGTCTCCAAAGAAACACTTACCCCTGACTTTGCCACTCTTAGTGAAGATGATGTTGATTCTCCCACTACAATTCCACCCAGGCATATAGACCCTATACATGACAAGGAAATTCTGTCTCCTGAAGAAAGCTCTGGAGATGGGGTAAGAATTAACACCTTGCTTTCAAATGTTGATCTGAAGCTATACAATAGTGATAAACTGTAGTAACCAGGGCCTAGCCTACGCTATACCCACCCCTTCCCCCACTCCCCATAGATCTAACCTACACAACTTCAGCTAAGCAACTAGTGTCGCTGAAGTCACATACTTACCATGATGTCTTCTGTGCAGTAAGGTCAGCAGGGGCTTCTGTTCTTGTCCCAGTGGAGTTCAGGGGGAGGGCACACAGAGGTAGATGTAAGCAGACATGATAAATCTACCATGGATTGATTGATGCAGTGTTGATCCCTCATGTAGTGAAGACAAGCCCTTAGTTCCACTCTAGATTCCAACATAGTTTTTATTGTGCATCATAAGCTGCTAATTGCTGGGTGTGTGGGAAATTATTTTGCCATCAGTCGTAAAGTGATCATGCTATACTAGTTCGATTAATGTAAAGCTTCCAGTAACTCCATCAATGAGCCGAAATGTGACTGACTAGCCCTGTATCTTTCCACAGGGTGACTTTATTTTTACTGAAGATCCAACAATACTCCAAGAATCTGAACTGGTTGACTCTTCAAGAGATGCTGAAGCTGCTGGAACTTCTCAAGGGTTAATGGACAAGAAAGAAGTTCTAGGAGGTATTTCAAAATGCATTAAATACCATAAGGCCCGAGCAGTAGTTGTAATTGGTGGCTGTCTCCTGTACTATAGGTTCCACCCAAACTATGGCACCTAGGCTTTCTATTTTAAAATCTCTCTAGTCATCAGACTCAAGATATGGTAGGAAACATGCAAACCCTAAATCAAGGCAGTGTTGCACAATATATAGATGCCAGATCCTCAAGCTTCTGTCAGTGTCTAAATTTAATGCATCACTTATGGGCATGTTAAAAACTGAACATGGGAATGAAGTAAAACCATACTCAGTATGCCATAGAGGCAGTCTTTTGTAATGTAAGAGAAGTTGCTGTAGAACTGCTCTAGCCTCAGTACTGCAGAATTCAGATCCAGGTTACTGTTAAGTACATTTTCACTAGAACATTTTCAGGAAAAGTTTCTATTCTCCCCCTCTCCCCCCAGTCAAATATGAAGTAAAAACCTCTTGCAGTAATAAAGCATTGCCTGTTGGCAGGAGACTTGGCTTTAGCACAGTGGTGCTCCAGGTAATGGAGGGAACATGGATGACTGCATCTTCAAACTTCCATTTTGGGGAAGGAATCAAAAGCCTCTGTAGGGTAGCCTTTTAGAGGACAGCTACATGCTCTCTTTCCACTGAAAGCGAAAAAGACTTGAGTACCTAATTCCCATTGGGGACTTGGAAGACTCTCTAGATCCTATAATACATGCGCTTCATTATGAAATGCCTTAAAGTACTGGTCTCTGCTTCTACTAGCAAACCCTGGAATAAACAGCAGTCAATATCGGTCTTCTGCATGGTATCTAATATGATTTTTGCCTCTCCACAGGTGTCATTGCTGGAGGATTGATAGGCCTGCTATTTGCAGTGTTCCTAGTTGGGTTTATGCTGTACAGAATGAAGAAAAAAGATGAAGGCAGCTATTCGTTGGATGAACCAAAACAATCGAATGGAGGATACCAAAAACCACAGAAACAAGAAGAATTCTATGCATAAACACTGGTCTTCAGAACACTTCCCATCTTTCTTGAACTCTTCTGACCCTGCACATAACCTGCTCAATGGGTTTTTCTGCATTAAACTCAAGCCATTTGCTCATCAGAGAACCCCTGCCTCCTTGCCACTGGAAACTGAGCTACCAATTAAATCTGGATTCCTGGAACCTAGCCAGCTTTCTTGCACAAACATTTTTTTTTTAAAGTGGAACGTGGGACTTCAAGCCACTGAACTTGCTTTGGCTTATCTAAAGACTCCTGGGAGGGAGGGAGAGCTGGCCTGTATGTATATAATTGACTTTTAGGCAAACAGCAGGACTTAACAGCTAACAAGGCTTGAATTAGCTCTATTAAAGATCCTTGTTACACACAGCTGAGGCTGAGAGAGTTTATAGTGTGTGAGGTGGTCTCTACTGCATTTGACTAAGTCCAACAGCTAGTACCTTATGGTTCTTGAGTTTTCTAGTTGTCCTGATCATAGCACTTAATAGTGGCCATAAGATGTTGACTGGAAAGAGGAGTGAAGGGGGCAAGAGAAACATTTGATCAGTGGATTTGGGATTTTAAGAGTGCAAGGAACAAGCTCCTTGACTGCTGAATGCATGTACTGCTAATGATGATTTACAATTTAAATTATCTGAGCATCCTATGCCCACTCTTCTCCTTCTGAGACTAAACCAAGAAATGACTTTTGGGACCAAACCATATCTAAACATCCTTGTTACGTGCAAAATCTTAAGTCTAGCTTACTGGCTCATATATGTTGCACAAGTCTTTGAGACACCCTACTGGGTTCCAGAGCACAGTTCTAGGCATCTGGTGCCATATTCTTGCTATCTACCTCTGCATTGTCAGTTTGGTGGTGATTTTAAACTAGGTCTGCCAGGAGTGTCGTCATACCTTGTGTGCTGTACATGACACGTAAAGTATGAAAGACAGAGCAACCCAAGTATCTCTGGCTTGTACTGCCAAAGACCAGGGAACTGAGCACCTTAACTAAACTGATCCTTTTTTTGCAATATAGAATGACTGGTATTTATAGGCTCACACTAATATCTACAATATAAATACTTGGCTTGTCGATAACTTCTGATAATGTCATAACACTAATGCCTTTGGTTGGAATGCAGAGGTGGGTGTCAGCAATGGATAATAGTCTTTTGTACAGTGTCACCCAGCTAGCCTTCAGAGCCACGTCATTTGGTTGCTTGCTGATTAGAATCAACCTAAGAACGGGAACACTTGTCAAGAGTCTTGTTTGGATGAAAGTACAGTTTTGTAAATGGGTTTTTTCAAATGCAATAGTCTTGAGTATAATATACTAAGAATAGATGCATTCAGTTGAAGTTGTACTGGTTTATTCACTTCAGTGTCACCTTTTGCACCATAAACTTTAAGAACTTTGCTGGATGGCAATCTTAAGTTAATATAGATCTTGCCTCTGCTTCACAACTAGATGGATTTTGTTAGCCTGTTGCAAATCAATAACTTTTTCTGCTCATAGTGAAGGTACAGGGAAGGGAGAATGTTTACGTTGTAAATATTTATATTGCTGAACCATAGGAAGTGCTCTGAGAACACTTGCTGACAGAGACATGTGTATGGCATGTTAACAAAGTGTAGAATGTCATTCCTGAATTGCCAACTGAGGAAATTGGTGCCTTGTCAATTTTTCTCTCAAAACCAAGAAACTACTTCATTCCAAACTCTATGGACAGATTGCTTTGTTATAAGTTAATGTTATTAAAGACAAAACCATGTCCTTTACTGTCTTTATTTTTACACTGAATTTTATAAATTAATGCAGCAACCAGATACTGTTAATTACAGCTGTAATCTTTTGTTTTGTATAAGAATGTAGAAAAGCCTATTAACGGCATTTCTAGGAGAAGACTTCCCATAAATGACAGGAAACTCTTTAAAGAACGAGGCAATTTCAGCTGTACTGCCAACCTTTTTACAGGCCAAGAATCACTCTCTGTATATTTTGGTAATCTGAATGGCTAACTGGAGTTATTGACGTACAGAACGTTTTGTATTTAAGTGGTGCAAATATAATTTTAATGGAAGATACTTAAGTTGGTTATCTGTACACCTGCAATAAATGGCGTTTTGGCAAATAGCTAATGATCAGTCTGCCTGCCTGACTCTCTCCTGCATTTAATGTTATTTTTGAGAGGGAGGGGGAGGCAGAACTCCAGAGCTATGTCTACACTGGCGCGTTCATGCAAAAACTCTTTTGCGGAAGAGTTCTTTTGCAAAAACTCTTCCAGAAGAGAGCGTCTACACTGGCATGTGCTTTTGCGTAAGAGCATCCATGCCAGTGTAGACGCTCTCTTGCACAAGAAAGCTCTGATGGCCATTTTAACCATAGGGCTTTCTTGCACAAGAAATTCATGTTGCCTGTCTACACTGGCCTCTTCTGGAAGAGCTCTTGCGCCAAAGGGCTTCTTCCTGTGTGGGAGCATCAGTTCTTGTGCACGAAGCCCTGATTTTATACATTAGAACATCCGTTTACTTGCGCAAGAACATGCAGCCAGTGTAGACAGGCAGCAAGCTTTTGCGCAAGAGCGGCCGCTTTTGTGCAAGATCGCGCCAGTGTAGACTCAGCCCAGGATTGCTTTCTTCGAAGCTTAAGAGCACAGAGTTATACAAATACAAGCAGCTTCAGCCCTGAAAGGTTTGAAGAGTAGGCACTGGAAGCCTAGCATACTCTCTCTCCTCCCTGCTGTTAGTGAAAGGTAGCTCAGAGGTAGAGCAGTTTGAGTACTGAACAGAGAGCTCTGTTGCTTACAAAGGCCAACAGGTGCTCAATCATCCAAACTGCTCTGATTGTCTCCATACTCAGAGGCTGTCTCTACACTGGTGCGATCTTGCACAAAAGCGGCTGCTCTTGCACAGAAACTTGCTGCCTGTCTATACTGGCCACGTGTTCTTGTGGAAGTAAACTGATGTTCTAATGTATGAAATCAAGACTTCTTGCACCAGAACTCTGATGCTCCCACTGAGGAATAAGCCCTCTTGCGCAACTGTTCTTGCGCAAGAAGCCAGTGTAGACAGGCAACACTAATTTCTTGTGCAAGAAAGCCCTATGGTTAAATTGGCCATCAGAGCTTTCTTGCGCAAGAGTCTACACTGGCATGGATGTTGTGCAAAAGCACATGCCAGTGTAGATGCTCTCTTCCGCGAAAGAGTTCTTGCGCAAGAAGCTGCCAGTGTAGATGTGCCAGAAAGAGTTGTGCTTCCCCCTACCACTACGTTTTCTGGCTTCTTGGGCCACAAATGAAGTGCTAGAGGTTTCAAATAAGCTGCTATTGCCTTAATAGGGGTTGCTAGGGCATAGGAACTAGCTTGGATTTGAGAATGGGGTAAGGGAGATGAATGATTTTCTACATGTAACTAAGTCATATGCTGAGCCCCGCATCTGGGGTCTAGCTCTGGTTGGGAATAAACTTTCCTGCTTCCATGTAATTTCTGCTTGTGGTGGTCTTGGATCCATCAGTAGGCACTGAGTCAATTAAAATCCAAAACAATGGAAGTAGTCATATGGATAGTCCTAGTACATCTCAACTTCTAATTGTGTGGTCTGAAGGGAGTGGAAGGGTTAGGGCATTGACAAGTCTATTAACTCATAACTTTGTCTTGCAAGACCAATCACAACCAGACAGATTCCATACCTCCCTAGGTAACCCAGTCCAGTTCTTCCTATTTTTTTCCTTATAGTCAACCTAGACCTCCACTAGACCTCTTCCACTGCAGCTTGAGACCATGGGTCCTTGTTCAGTCCTTTCTCTGTCCTCTTAGAAACCCCCCTTCAGGTAGCTGAAGGCGTCTATTAAATCTCCCCTTGTCTCCTCTGTAGTCAGTGGCTGTGGCAATTTCAGCCTACTTGGTTTTCAGTGACCATTTCTAGCCTGTGTCTGTGGAGAAAGGGTTACATTTTGAACTTAAAGCCTCAAAGCAGAAGGCAATCAAATGTTACACTCATGACTGAAGTGGGTCTAAAATCATGATTGATTAACTTGATTTTTTTGGACATTTAGTGTTGGCAATGCTGCAAATGTTCCAAATCCTCAGTTTGAGAAGCTTAGTTTAGAAGTTCAGCTTAGGATGCACCATGGGACTTCTATCTTTACTGTAAAAGTATTGTATTTTAGCAAATATAACCTGTGGGTTAATCTGTTTTTACAAAGCCTGCACACACACACACCCCCCCCCCCCCCCCCCGGGCAGGAGAGAAGGACATTCTTTTTACTCACCCAGTGGTGAGTGCTCCCCTATCCCTCCCCTGCTGCACAGCCTCTGCATGGGGGAGCACTCCTCTCCTGGTTTCTGTGCCAGAGCGCTCCCCCTGCCCCTTCCTCCGGCTGCACAGGAGCCGGGAGGTGAGCACTCCCCTGCCTGGAGGCTAGAGGCTGCACAGCTGCAGGAAGGGGTGGGGGAACACTCTCATTCCCCTGCCTGGAGGTTGTGGGCTGCATGGGAAACAGGCAGGATGAGTGCTTCCCCTGTCTGCAAGGTGGCTAATTCTTTCCCCCTGACCTGTAGAAACCTCCTCCACACAGTTTAGAAAAAAGTTGTGTAAACCCTGCAGGTTATATGCGTGTCGGGGGTATACAAGATTTTTTTTACCTCAAACTGCAAAAATTGTGGGGTATATTCGGGTATGGGGTATAGTCACTAAAAGGATGGTATTTCCCTACCCTTTTTGGATAGAGGAGGGGTGCATGTCACCACACCAGGGCTAAGATCTCCATACGATTTGAATTACATTGCCAAAGAATTAAAATGACTGATGCGATAATGAACATTTAGTAAAGGGAGTTGGGGAAAGGTCCTGTGAATTGAAGACCTATTGTGGACCTATCAGTCCTTCTAGAAATTGAAAAAATAAGTAAAGGACAGAGCAGAGGCTAATTTCAGATGGAATAAGCAATAGGAAAGTAATGAGGCCACCACAGCTGATGACCAGATCTAGATTTTTACCATAAACAAGATTGTATCCCACCTTTATATACAGACTACTACTTTCTGCCTAAATCTTTTTTGCATACAACTCGGCAAGCAAGACCACCACCAAAACACTGGTCATTACTGCTTGTACCCATACAGAAACTAATCAGGAGTAAATAATTGCCATTATCCAATTCAAAATTTCCTACTGCCCTGTGGGTTCCTCAATCAGCCATGCATATATACAGCAGGATTCTTGCAAAAAGGCTCTGGATTCCCACCAGTGTGCTTTCTACTGAATGGGCCCCGCTGACTAAGTTTGGTAGCTTTTAGTAAAAGGGCATTGAACTGTCTCCAGATTAGCGTCAGCTAAATTCTGCACAGTATCCTGTCCTGCACTGCCCAGGTGCTTGGACCTGCTGGGGGAGGAATACTCTCTGCCCCAGACTTGCTGTGGCTTGGGATGGGAGCTCATCTTCCCATCTCCAGCTCAGCTCGGCCTGTTGTGGGCAGGGGATGGTCCCCACCCTGGTCCCAGCCTGGGAAGAAGGACCCATCTCCCTGTGTCAGCCCCAGAGCTGCTATGCTGTGCAGAGGAACCTATTGCCCCTCAGGTGGTCAGCCCGGCCCTGTGTTGGCTGCATCCAGTAGGGCTGTTCCTAGGGGGATGAGAGGCCTAGGACAAACCCTACCTCGTCCCTCCTATGCCCCCTTCCTGCCTTCACTCCATCCCTTGCACAAAGCCTCTACCCCAGCTCTGCTCCCCGTCCCACCCCTACTCCACCCTTTTCCCCCAAACCTCCTTCTCCAAGAGACCTAGCGTGGGGCAGGGGCCTGGTGCTGGCAGCAGGGCTTAAGTCTGCCCCTGCACTCACTGGAGGCTGCAAGAAGGGGAGCAAACCAGACCCAACCTGTTCTATGCTATTTCCCAGCTGTTTCACTCCACTTTCTGCCTCTGCTGGTGAGCCCCCAACAGCCCTGCCTCCATAGCCCTTTAACATGATTGGGGGTGCATGTGCTTAGGCTGTGTATGACACCAGAAGTGCTAGGGATAGCCTTATGTTTGGCCTTTGAAGGAACAGAAGAAGGAAATTTACCTGCAAGGCAAGAGGGCTGGTATGGGGAGTGGGAGAGAAGGAGCTATCTATGGAGATGGAAAACAGCTGGGTATCTTCATGCATACATTATAGTATTCCAAATCTTTACAAGGCCTACAGGGGACTCCTATCACAGCCATTATTTTTATGACCTGAGGAACTGACTCTGCAAAACAATTAAATTGGAATTAAGATTAATGTAATTTTACTCAAGAAAATCCTCAAGTGAATGTTACAATTTTCTCAAAAGAACCACAAATAATAGAAAACCTGGAAATTCCACTTGCTTTCTATTCTTTAAAAAAAAAAACACAGTTGATATAGTCATAAGATATCACTCCAGAAAACTGGAAGAAAGCTAATGTTATGCCAAACTTTCTTTGATAGTGTAACAAGGCTTGTGGCTAAAGGGGAAGTGATATTTGAGGTATGCTTTGATTTTAGTAAAACATTTGATAAGTCTCACATGAATCACTTATCAATAGCCTGGGAAATAAAATGTAGGGGGGACTATTATAAGATGGGTGCATAACTGGTTGGATAACTTCTCAGAGTGTGGTTATCGATGGTTCACAGTCATGGTGCAAGGAAATAAGTGGGATTCTGCAGGGATCCATTTTGGGACCAGTTCTGCTCAATATGTTCACCAATGATTTAGATATTGGCATAGAGAGTACACTGACAAAGTCTGCAGATGATACCAAACTCAGAGAGGTTGCAAGTGCTTTGGAGGATAGGGTCATAATTCAAAATAAACTGGAAAAAGTGGAGAAATGGTCTGAGGTAAATAGGTTGAAGTTTAATAAAGACAAATGCAAAGTGCTCCACTTAGGAAGGAACCATCAGTTTCACACATACAGAATGGGAAGTGACTGTCTAGAAGGAGTACTGCAGAAAGGGATGTAAAGGTTATAGTGGATCACAAGCTAAATACGAGTCTAGAGCCCATCACCAACCTGTCGATTGTGATCGACTGGTCAATTTTGGGGGCACAACCAGTGAATTGCGAGGCACTCCAGGCCCACTACCCACATTTTCCCCCAACCCGAAGAAGTAGCCTACATGGAGGTCGTGCCAGCA